AAATGATCAGATCGAACATTAACACTGAGACAAACTTCCAACAAAAACGAAGACGAAAAGTTAAAATTTTGACATTAAAAGTCGGAATCATGAAGCAGAATTTGAGATAAAGCGTCAGATAATTATCAGATAAAGGGCAAAATTACCAAATTAAGTGAGTCAAAAATTAGATCAAAGTCAGAATAAGGAGAAAAAAAGTCTTACCTGCACCGACTCGTCACATTTAACGTTTTAATGAGGAAGTAGCGCCCCCTGCTGTTTACCTGCAGCTCATTTTTTACAGCGTGAGTGGAAACGTTTCATCTGGATGAGTTTGATGGACAGTTTGATGGAAAGCCGTCTGCTGTGGCCTTAATGTGGAAACATCCTTAAATATCTTTCCTCTCCGGTGATGCGTTCACTGTCTCAGAAACAGAAAACGTCACATCAAGAGAAAGATGTAAATAAATCAGAGCGACCCAGTTTGTGACAGAAACCTCCGTCACGAATGAACCGGCCTCCGTCCTGCTCTGCTGTAAATATCACTGCGCTTTGAATTCTCATCCGTCTCCATTCAGAAGTCCAGCAGTGGGTTTTTTTCCCTGTTTTAGGTCAAAAGAAAGTCAAAATCTGGACATTAAAGAATCAAAAGTATGTTTTTTCTCAATCCAAATTCTAAAATAAATCAAAATGTTGACATAAAAAGCAGAAAATACACTTTCTAAGAAAATTAATCAAACGAAAAGGTTAAATTATTCCCCCAAAAAAGGTATTTTTAGATCAAAAGGCAAAATTAGAGGGAAAAATGTCAACATATTGAGATTACAAAGTCAAACACAACTCAAACTTATAAAGTTAAAAAGATAAAATTATAAAGTAATTCAGTGGAAACACCGACTTGAGGCCTGTGTGGAAACCAACACAAGGATGAAAATGAAATGAAGTTCTTTCTGGGACACATTTTTACTTCATATTTTATAAAAGTGGTCCATCCAAAGCAGCAGAATCACTCTGATACCGAAGAAAACGGATTCTCAGGCCGGTTCTGAACTTGTTCTGTAGTTTCTAAGCAGATTCATGAACGTTTAGTTGATTAAATGACCAACTCTGCCCCCAACATCAACCTCATAACAGTAAAAATAAGTTGAATAAAAATGTTGTTTTTTTTATGCTGACGGGAAGTTTTTCAAACGACAATGTTTTAAACAACAAATAAACTCAGTGTCTGAGTGTGAAGAAGAAACAAAGCCTGCAGGGGGATTTCAAACTCGTTTTTATTTCACTTATAAAAGAAGAAATCAGCTTTGATCAGCGACACAGACGGGGAGTGAGCGTGAGAACTGCAGCGTTCGTCACCGGTCAGTAGATTCTAGTAGTCTAAGCGACATGCATTTAAAACGGCTTCAGGCATCTGTCCGGCCACTCGGCTGAGAGTGTGGATGCACGCGACCTGATTCGCTTCATCGCCGAGCGTTAAAAACCTGTGAGACGAGCGGATGCGGTGTAGCCACAGCAACAGGAGGGACGGTTAATGGGGTTAATCACAGCAGATGGAGGATGCTTCGGGGTCGGAGGTCGAAGTCGAGCGACGGCTAAAAGTTTTTTCTTCTCTGGATCCTCGTCAGACACGGCGGGAGGTTCAGAGTCTGAGGGGAGAAGATAAAAACGAGAGAGGGAAGTGAAATCAGGATGAAAACGGTTTTTAAAAAATGCTTTAGAAGTGTCAAACCTTCTACTTTTTAAATCAGATAAACCTTCACAGAGCCGCTGTCTTCACGACACCTAAACAACCATTAAGCTATTTACCATCATTAACCATGTAAAAATAACTACTGCGCTGTTTTTCACACATTTGAACTCAGAGTTTGCGTTCGATTTGATGAAATATTAATATTTAAAGTAAAACACAGCAACGTTTTCCCAATGGAGACACATTTTGAGGATGTTTTGTAGCTTTTAACTGTGTTTTCGGGGCAGGAAACACAATCAAAAGGTTACTAGCCTCTTCAGAGTAGTTGTACACAATTTGTTTAGTGACAGGAACAATCCATCCATACTGGGTAAAGTTAACACAACTCTTTGTTCATACATCATCCTGCTGCCGTACATGCTCTCCAGAGCACCGATGTGAACTCATCTTGCATGTTTTATTCTCTGTGGTTTTTCTTCCTCACCTACTGTGCAGCCTGTTCGGTCTGTTCTCCTCCTCCTTCTGTTTTTGGGAGGTCAGTCTGCAGAGGAGACAGAATCAAGGTCAGGTCTTCTGTTCAAATCCACCCTCACAGAAAGCTGAACTTCTCCCAAAACAAAGGTGCAGCTAATGACATGAACAATGGCTGCACTCAGCTCTGGACTCCCTGTACATGTCAACAGGTGAATGCGTCCGTTAGTTTCATCTTGTGATGACGGTGTAACTGTTAACTGGTTTTAAAATCCTTCAGTAGTTTGTTCCTTGGGATTTAAATGGTGCTTTATGATCGTATACTGAAGATTTAGGGTGCGTTCACACTTTATCTTGGTCTACCCAAAACATAGAAAACACAAGTTATATGGATCACAACTAGATTACAGCTTCTGTACCTACCAAACTTACACAATAATGCTGTCTGCTGGACTACATACTCTCAGGAGATGTGTTTTAATGGAAACTGACAAGTGTGAATGCGTCCTTAACCAAAGAGACCTCATCTGATTTTGATGTGTTGGGAGAAATCCAGCTTCACATCTGTAAAATCACTCCAGACATCTTTCTGGTCGTCAGCTGAGAAAAACGTAACGAAGCCAAGATGAAGCAAAGCTGAAAGAAGCAGCCATGTTAATATGAGTTGGAGGTGATTTTCCATTCGCTAGGAGCAATAAATCCTGCAACAGGAGACATTTCTACACCAGACACTTTTCTGGCGACTGGACCTTTTGTAAACTCATCAATACATCAAGAAAACACAACGAGCAAAGAGTTTCGGTAAACGGCATCATGGTGACATTTACCGAAACTATAGTAAAGAAACACAATAAGTAAATAAGTTTTGAACTGACATATTTTGAGGATAAAGAAAGGTGTCATCAGCATAATGACAAACATTAGATAAGGCATGCATCATTCTCCTTCATAGTTTGTTAGTTTTGTTCATCTCCAGGTGGAAACCATCATTACATATCGATGCTGACAGCTTTCAGTTCATTTTATGCTCATTAAGACCTTGTAAGGCAAAATAAGTCTTACTGGGGTTTTTGGGTATATTCGGTGATTACTCAAAGAAAACTACGTCTGCTGTTGCCGCTCTGATTACTACGACCACCAGTAGTTTTAATAGTCAAACTCTGATCAGCCACAACATTAAAGCCTCCCTAATGTTATACACAACACCTTGAACTCTTCGTCACGTTTCTCAAACCATTCCTGAACATTGTTTGCAATGTGGCATCAGAGAGTACCGCTAACGTGAACTAAGGCGAGAACCCAACACTTCCCAGCCGAACATCACCAGATTGCCTTCTTTCCATAGTGCTTCCTGCTGCCATCTTCATCCATCCATCCATTTTGTTTTACTTATCCGGGGTCGGTACAAAATGGCACTAGCCCAAGCAGGGGATTGCGGATGTCCCTTTCCAGTTCCTTCTGGGAGATCCTAAGATGTTCCCAGTCAAGGATGGATCCTACTCAGATGTCTGTGAAGGTTCTCAGTCATCCAGGTCATGGCTATTCTCGTAGATTAATCGTAGCAACTGGACTTGCTTGATGTCAACCAGTTGAGCTATCACAGCAACCCAGAGGAAACTCATTGAAGCCACTTGCATTGCCAGCCTCATTTATTCGGTCGCTCATGACCGTAGGTAAGGGTTGGAACATAGACTGACTGGTAAATCGAGAACTTTGTCCAACGTCCACCAGAAACCCTTCACAGGTAAACTACACTCACATGATGTACAAGAAAACAGATTTAACAGACCAGGCCACCTTTTTCCAGGGTCCATGTGTCCATTATAGAAGCTTTCAGTGATGGACACTTTTTGCGACACTTTATGGTTGTTTAGCGTCTCTTCAGAGATGTTCCGACCCAATCGTCTAACCATCACAGTTGGTCAAAGTCCCTCAGATTCTCATGCTGCCCATTTTCCTGCCTCCAACACATTAACATGGAGGACTGCCTGCCTGGTATGTCTGACAGGAGCCAGTCCTCCAACACATTAACATGGAGGACTGCCTGCCTGGTATGTCTGACAGGAGCCACGACGACAACATAACGTTATTCACATCACCTGTTGGTGGTTTTAATGTTGTGGCTGATCGGTTCTGTTCACCCGTCTCGCTGAGTTTAAATGAAATGAGCATCTCTGGAGGATTTAAAGCAGAAAACTGAGGCTGCAGTCAGGGTTTGATGTGCCACCAAACAGAGCATACAGATCTGGGAGGGATTTAGGACTCTAGCCTGAATTTTAGTACAAAACTGGAGCCCTTTAAACTCAATATGACGCTTAAAGACTGCTGGAGTTTTAGATAAGAAATGTTAGATTCATGAAGCTGTTAAGGTCGTATTATTGTATATATATATAGTCATATGTTATCAGGCAACGAGCATCATGCCATGCCCCCCCCCCATCCTCAACCAATCAGGCACCTCGTCAGCCACAGGTCCCGCCTCCTCCTGTTTCCAGCCAATCACCAAAGATTTGAGACAGAAAAATAAAAGTTATAAACACAAGACGAATGAAAATAATAATAAATAATGAAAGGATTAACGTAGTGTGTCTTTCATGCCACATATAGAATATTTAGTAGATTGTGAAATATTTACTTTGCACTTACAAAATAAAATTAAGGAGATTTTATTTATTTTTTGGGTTTTTATGCAGGATAGAAAATAAGAATTGGCCGATTAAACAACACTTTCTGAACAAAATAAATGCTCTTTTAAAAAAAAAAATGCAGTAAATTCATACGTTTAAATAGTTTTCTATGGAGTAGTGAGAGCGCCAAATTGCAAAAATAAATCAAGAATAATAAAATAAAAGTGGAAATAAAAATAATAAAATAAAAAATAATGTGGTGATATAAAGCAATATTAATCAAAAATGAATCCATTTTTAGAAAAGGCTAATAAAAGTAGAAATATAAGAACAAATAAATAAAAAACAAAAATAATACTCTTATTTTTTTATTATTCATTAATTTAATTTTTTTTTTCGTTTTCATTTTTTTTAAATAAAAAAAATAATCATTCAAACACATCCAGCCTAAAACTGTTAAAATGAGTTAAAACTGTTACTTTTTAAATGAAAAAAATAATAATAATAAAAAAAATCCTATAGTATAAAAGTGCTCGTTAGCAAAAATTGACACTGATCAAATTAAAATAACAATAAACGAATTAAGGAAATGTTCATTTACAAAGCTAACAGTCTGAGGTCATGTGATGTGACATCACTCACCGCGCTGACGAATCCGCTCGCCACCGCCGCGTTCTCCACCCCCTCCACCGCGGCCTGGGCCACCTCGTTGGCCCCGGAGACGGCGGTGTCGGCCACGACGTTGGCCTGCTCGGTGGACTTCTGGGCCACTACAACCAGAAACGTGGGTTTTTTTTAATCACTTACATTTGAAATTAAAACCCTGGCTGATGGTGGCGATACTGAACTCATAAATAATGCCGATACCTCAGATGTGTTGAATTTTATTTATAATATTTGTCAGAACTGAGATCATTTGTTTTATTTACTGATCCTGTGAAGCGTTCATACTGACTATGGCTGATCAATCATTATCACTGTTTGTAATAATCAATGTGAGCAAAAGATTCTTCCAGGAAAAACATTTTAAACCTCCCTTAAGCTTAATCTGAATAAACTCGTTAAGGAACAGACGAGGAGGCCAATTACCTGCAAAATTAGATTTCACGAGCCTTGTTTTTTTGGGGCTGTTCTGTTTTAAATTACAATCAACGCTTAGAGCGGTTTTATTTTAGCTTTACTCTATAAGAAGCTTTCTGGGGATTCGGTGTACATCTGTCACGTGCATGTTTATCCTCGTTTAGCTTTGAACATCTAATACAGCTGTAGTAGGAGCTGTTTGCTTTTTTTGTGATGATGCCAGTAATTATTTCTTCTCCTTTGTACTCATTACGGGTGTGTTCGTTAGTTTACCTGTGTTAACGCCGGTCACCATTCCCTCCATCGTCTTGTTTCCTGGAGAAAGATGAACGAACAAAACATTACAATTCCACCAACAAAATGTAAATCAGACATGAGGACATGTGTTCTAAATTCTCAGGAGCTTTTATTGACTGTTTTGAATTTGACAGACATGTTATTAATATTATTTTACTGACTTACTCTCTGCTTTGTCATTTTCATCCCAACTGCCGTTAAATTCAAAACTTCTCATGAATGACTAAACAAGTCCCAACATGTGAATGAAAACAGTATTTCCGGCTCTTTAATCAAACATGTATGCGTTCGTAGTAGCTGCTGTCCGTATACCAGCTGTTCTTGAGGTTTTATGCTATAAAATCAGCCCAAACTGGAAGATCTCAGTCCTGAAATGAAACAAGGTTCAAGCTGAGTTTACCTGCATCTCCTCCGAACCAACATCTGTTAGCAGCTGTTCAGGGTGAGTATGACTCTGGATCTGACCTGGTTTCTTCTGCAGAGACCTGAATTATTCATTCATGTCACCTGGTTCACACCGAGGCAGCCAGCCGCCCTCTGTGTGAAGCCCACCCTGTCCTCGTTTTATCCTCTTTCTTAAGATTTAGAGACGGAGTCCAGCGCGGGTCAGATCAGGTAACGGTCCAGTGGACATTAGAGGAACTGCAGCTGGTTGCACCACTCAGCCTTCCTCTTGTTGTTCGTTGGTCCCGATCCAGATTCGGGGATATAACTCAGCCAGTGGGCGTCGTGCTGGTGGGACATGTGACGGGTCCGACTGAACGGACTCTTTGTCCGACCGAACACAGTCTGTGATTCACCGTCGGCTGATGTGGCAGCACAGAAACACACTGTGTGGAGCCTCAGCAGCTGTTTCCCGACAGGACTCGAGTGATGTTTGAACTGAAGCTGCTCGTTAAACCAGACTTAGAGCTGCATACGATGCATATTTAATGAGGCTGCAGGTTTGTCTTTTCTGTCCGACAACAATAAAAGAAATATTGTGTTTTAAGCCCCTCGACCCAAAGCAATTGATGCATTGGTGTTTTTTTGCTACCGTCACATTTCCACTCACTGTGGGCTCGTTTTTCTCTGCATTATAAAGTCCTGCACCTCCATGGAAACAACACAACCATGGCTGAAGGCAGAAGGAACTCAGACACGTCTTTTGTGCAGTTGCAATGCCTTAAAGTTGAATTTTTGGCGATTACTTTATGAAAATTGAAAAAAAAAAAAAGGAGAAGCTTGGAATCAACATGTAGAACATTTTTCCAGGTGTCTCCAGATTTCACCAACACTAGACAATAAAACAGACGCTCCACATGCTCCACATATTTACTGTTTGTATTTTAGCAAACGATTCATTTCTCACATTTTTATACGATATGCATCTTCCAACCACCTGGTCCTCTGTTTACTGTTTCTGAGCCATGCTACATTTATTTTATTAATCCAGTATGTTTTATTGTCTTCTTAGTCTCTCTTGTCGTCTCTTCTCTGCTCTGTGTAAACAGTCTGGATTTAGGCTTGTGAGGGAAAACTCATTTTGTCACAAGACTGTTGGTCACAGTTCAGACCTCAAACGTAGTGAATTTAATCGTCTGTTTTCTCCTAAACGGGACCATCATTTACAAAATAAACATCACACTGTATTGAGGGAGACCCATAACTAGTGGTTGAGACCATAAAGTCATTAGGAAAATGTTTCCTGGGGGAACAAATCGATTGTGAAGTCGGGTCATTTTCTCACAGACGTCTGTACAGTCGACCTGCCCTCTACTGGCCGTTAAAGAGAATGCAGCCACTTTTGTGCTGGTTTTACTTTTCAGACCTTTTCTTCCGGTTTCTGTTTTGTTCGGAAAATCAGGTCACGATTCTGCCGTGGCACATGACGTCCACCAGTGACTCGTCCACAAGCTTCAGCTTCACAGACATGAAGCATTTCTCAAATTAGTCCCTGTAAGAATGAGATCCTTTTACCCATCTTACTCAACAGGAAGTGAGATATTTTAGGACTTTCCGACACTGGGACTTTTTCTGTGGATTAAACAATGAGTTGATGCATTTAGACAATAATTTGCAGATTAATTGGTATTCAAAATAGGTGTTAATTGCAGCCTTAGAGGGAATCTTCACATCGACACTGAGTCTTCCTGATCAGGCTAACAGAGAGTCAGATATTCAGCCAGCAAGAACTAACTAAACTGTCAGTCACTACTGTTCCTATGGTAACAACTAGCATTGCTACGCTAGTATTTAGGCATGCTGAAGCTAGTCATTAGATCGTTTATATACAGTCTTAGTTCTTGTGGAAAAGATCGCATGTTGATAAAAGCAAAAAGTGACAAAGCACAACAGGAACGGTATAAAATAACAGAACAAAACAGAGGAAACTAAACTCTCTCTGACTGCTAACATTTTTCCTGAAAGTTTACCCCAAGCTAAATGCAAATCCAGCTCCCATCACCTGTTCTTTGGCTTCAACCTCATTGTTTTTAGGTGGTGGTGAAGAGTCGTAGCTAAGAGGTGACACAAAAATAAATTACTCACTGTTTATATAATATAATGCAGCATTACAGCAGCATACACATCAAAATAGTCCAAGATAATAATGGGTGTAACGGTAGAAGGATGTCTCAGTTACAGGTATAAACTTAATTCATACAGAGATAGTACACCGACTTTAGCCAGCAGATGGCACCATTTTGACTGTATTTAATATATTAGCTACTGTCAGAAAGCTGCCTTTGTTATATAATCTCTGAGCTGCTGTTTGGACCTACTTTACGTCGTTAAACCTGAGATTATCTTTGAATACTTTGATTTTGCCTCTTTATTGATTTTTTTTCTCAGCTTTAACAGGCGGATCAATGAAGGTGATTGATAAACACTGAGCTGTGATCCATCCATCCATCACCAGTCGACAGTACAGGTGAGAGTAAAACACAACAACAAGCGACCCAACGGGACATGGCATCACTTCCTGTGGGCCACCGAGTGTGTCGCCATGGCAACAAAGCATAAACAGAGCACACACAAGGTGAGGCCTGGTTTTCAACTCATTTCTTAAAAAGCTGCCGTGTGATCAACGTATACTGATCAGTAGAAGTGACGATGCAGCGTGTTAATGATAACTTATCGTTATTGAGCTTTGTACGGAGTTTTAACTCAGTATTTATCTGCTGTTGGACTCAGATATGTACCTTGGGAGATTTTCAAGACCAAACATGGAGCTAAAAGTCAAATAAAATAGAAATCTGGTCCAGAATTCAAAAACGCAGTGCGGCTTTAGCAGCTACAGAGGAAGATATTTACCTTGGGAGATGGTGGAGACCAAACATGGAGCTAAAAGGGAGTGAATGCTATAATAGACTTTGATTTTAACAAATACATCAGCACAGTTAGCTACTAAGACGCCATAAATGAACTCTGGACATGGTGGAGACCAAACGTGAAAGAACAGAGTAGGAAAACTGGACTGGACTTAGCATTTCATCCAACACAGTGGAGCATTTGACAGTCAGATATTTACCTCTGGAGATGGTGGAGACCAAACATGGAGCTAAAAGGGAGTGAATGCTAATAAAGACTTTGATTTTATCAAATACGTCGGCACATTTAGCTACTAAGACGTCATAAATGAACTCTGGAGACCAAACATGGAGCTAACCGAGTATGAAAACTGGACTGGACGTTTGGCAGCTAGACATTTACCTCTGGAGGTGGTGGAGACCAAACATGGAGCTAAAAAGAGTGTAGCATTGTATCATATAAAGTGGAGCATCTAGCATGTAAAGAACCAAATACTGCTCTTGGGAGATGGTGGAGACCAAACACAGAGCTCGAAGGCTGTAAAGACTGGATTAGATTTCCATTTTATCAGACCTGGTGGAGAATGAAGCTGCTACAGATCCAGATATTTCCCTCAGGACCAGGTGGAGACCAAACATGGAGCTAAAAGAGAGAAAACACTGGGCGAGACTTCCATTATGTGAAACGGATCCATCCACACTGAAACCTGAAACCGACTTAGATGTTGTGAACTCTTTCACAACCTTCTGGTTTCACCAACACTGTGAGCAAACTGTGTCCAGGGTGTAAAACCTGGACCGAACATTGATGGTTTGATCCCGTGTGGACAGAAATCATGTGGTCCACATCTTCTATGCATCTGTTCATCTTTGTTTCTGCTCCAGATGTTCACATCTTCAGATTGAATGCAGATCATCCTCCGCCTCTTGTCGTTCTTCTCTCTTTATTCTGATTTAAATATTTTATAATCCAGCTGCCTGTCCTCCGTCGCTCCCTCCCTTTATTTATTCCTGTGTTGAACTTCACTCCACCCATCTCTCGGTCATTTTCCACTTTAAAAAACACCAAATTTCTGGAACTTTGATGTGAAATTTAGCTTATTGAGGCCAGTTTCTCTTCATTTAACCTCCATTGTTCATCCTTCGTTCCTTGTTTTTGCTCCACATGGGCGTCCACGTCTTCAAATCCAATACGTGAGGATGAATTGCACTTTTTCTTTTCCACCGTCTTCTTCTTCTTCTATCGTCTCTTTTATGATTTAAATATTTTAAGATTCAGCTTCTTGTCCTCCATCTGCCACTCCGTTCTTCATCCCGTCTGTATTTTAGTCTCGGTGCTGAATTTCACTCGTCCTCCAACCATCCCTTCTTCATTTTACACCAAAAAACTAAAAATTTCAAGAAATTTGAAGTAAAATTTTGCCCAGTTTCTCTCCTTCTGTCTTCATCCATCATTTCTTCTTTTATTTCTCTCACAAATAACCTTCAAACTGTCTAATCGATCGTGATGAATCACACTTTTTCTTTCCTCGTCTTTCTTTTTTTCGGATTTAAATAATTCAAGATTTAGCTTCTTGTCCTCCGTCTTCACTTCCTCCCGTGATTTATTTATTTCCTGTCTTGTTGTTATATTTCACTCGTTCATTTTCCATCAAATAAAAACTAAAACTTCTAGAAATTTAACATCTTCTTTATCAGTTTGTCTCCTGCAGCTCTTCCTCCACCCATCCCTTTATCCCTCCATCTTTTCCTTCGTCCTTTCTTGCGTCCGACCTCCACGTTCGCTGCACGTCAGGATGAATTGCACTTTTCCTCCTCCGCCTCCCTTCCATCGTCTTTTTTCTGATTTGAATAATTTAAGATTCAGCTTCTCGTCCTCCATCCATCACTGCTTCATCCCTCCATCCCTCCTTTTATTTCTTCCTGGTTTGGTGTTGAGTTTCACCCTCCACCCATCTCCCACTCATTTTCCATCAACAGTTTTGGAAGTTTGATATGAAGTTTAACTGCTTTTGGCCTCTTTCCTCTGTTTCCACTCCTCCTCCTCCTCCTCTCTCTGTTCATCTCCATCCTTTCTTCAATCCTGCTTTTTTCCTCCCCGTCTATCATCCTCCTGATTTAAATATTCTGATTTAGCTTCTTGTCTTGATTTTGCTGATTTTCATTCGTCCTTCTGCCTCCTTTCGTTCATTTTCTACCCAAATAAACCCACAAATTGGCAAAAACTTGATATGAAATTGAACTTTTCTTCACCAGTTTCTCCTCCTCTCTCTCTCTCTCCCTCCTTCATCTCTCCATCCTTCATCTCTCCCTCCTTCATCTCTCCCTCCTTCATCTCTCCCTCCTTCATCTCTCCCTCCTCCATCTCTCCATCCTTTCCTTCCTCATCCGTTCCTGCTCTGAACGTCCCACGTCATAATGAATTGCACTTTTCCTCCTGCGCCTCTCGTCTTTCCTCCCTTTCTTTTTCCTGATTTGAGTGGCTTCTCGTCCTCCATCCATCCATCCATCCATCCATCCATCCATCCATCTCAGTCTGCCGTCTACTTGTCCTCCACCCATCCCTTCTTCATTTTCCACCAATAGTCCTCATAATTTGGCAGCTAATGGTCGAATTCTGTCAAATCTAACTTCTCCTTCCTTCATGTTTAATAGTGCTTTTTTTCCCAAACAATAAGCACATATTACAGCTTTATCTGTTTGATCCTAACTCCTCCTCCTCCTCCTCCTCCTCCTCCTCTCCATCATCCTCTCCTCACAGCGTTGCGGTGAATTTCACTTTTCTGACACTTTTACGTTCTTCTCCATCTTTTTTTTTGCCTCACTTTTATCGCCTAAAACTCCAAATGTTGGTTATTATTATTTTTAACTTTCCGTCCACCTTACCGACATACATGACCCCCTCCTTGGTCTTGGCGGCGGCCTCCTCCATCCCGGCCTTCGTCTTCTCGGCGGCGGCGACCACTCCGCCCTTGGCAGCGCTGAATCCCTTCATCAGACTGTTCATGATGCTTCCTTCTTCTTCTTCTTCTTCTTCTTCTTTTCTGCTGCTGCTGCTGCTCCGTCTGCCTCGGCCGTCTCGTCTCTTCTCGTCTGCCGGCGATCCGTTCTTCTTGCTAATGGATGAGAGGAGATGGGTGGAGAGAGGGCACGTGAGACAGAGAGAGAGAGAGAGAGAGAGCTGTTACGAGAAAGGGAGGGAGGGTAATAAATAGAAGCG